GTTATCTGGTTTGGAACATCTCAAGAAACTGATTGATAATCAGGAAAACATAAGGTTAAGGAGTAACCAGACACTTAAAAGCCAGCTTGAAATTCCTATGGATAGCAGATATACTGATGGGATATCTCATGGTTTCTTCGGAAACAATAGATAGCTTGCAGCATCAGGGTTTTCGATTTTTACTTGTGAACAAGCTTCAGCTGTAGCTTAGCATGACTTTTCCAGATCTTACTATGGTCTTATTAACAGACTTAAGGCAGTCATAACCTTTTGTGGGGAGAACTTCCACCAATTATCCCAGGAAAAGTATGACAACACTTGTGGTCAGGGCTCCAATGGGCTGGACACTGTGATGAACCCTTTACCTTTGTTCAAGTGTTGCCCACACCCCCTCTGACTCGGTCTCTTGCCTCTGCATTCCCTAACCCAGCAACCGAGTTTTAGTCAGTCAAGTTTAGATAGGCCTCCCATAGTGGGACTGGGGAATGTACGGCCTGAGATGCCTATTAAACAACTTTACTTCTGCTTAGTTCTGGTTAGATTGGGCGGGGAGGTCCTTTGTAAATCCAGATTAGAACTGGTCTGATAAATGCTGAGCTGGGTGTGTGAAAATGTGAGTTGATTAGCATTTGGAGCACAGATTCCCCATCATGCAGTGCTCCCCTGCTTCTCTGATCCCAAAATTCACTGTAGTCTTTGCTTTGGGCTTTCTGTTCTCCATCTCCCATGTAAATGTATGGTCATCTGGTTCCATCTCAGTTGCAAATGAGACCTAGGGCAGTTGCTCCCTTATCTGGAGGGCTTTAGGTATGTCTCCCACTGCATCTTAATCAGTTTTGTTTGGGGGGGGAAGGGATTCTTTGTGAGTCAGACAGGCTGCGTCCTGGGCCAGGGTTCCCCAACAACATGGAGCTGAGAGGTAACATAAGGTTGGGTGATTTGTCACAAAACAGATTAATAGGAATTCAATTATGAATTACATAGGTTATGAAAATATACTAATGCAGCTAAAAATATAGTTTAATATACTGAATTCAGAGAAATTTAAACCCTTAGCTTTCAATAAAGAAGTATACTTTGTTTTAGCTCCTTTGTGCTGATTCTGTACTTCTGTGGATCTCAAGGTCACAGGGCCAGGAGGAGGGAGGTTCCCTCCAACTCCAAGGGTAGCAATACATGAACACCTTGTCTTAAACATTTTATTCATCATTGTAAAAGAAAACATTTCATAAGAGGTTTTTTTACATTTTTCCAAAAACTTCCCATTTTTCCAATTTTTTGGAATACAAAAAAAAGCCCTCCAGGAGAGAAAAATGGGAGAAAAAGGTTTTTTTTCCCCCAAAAGGTCTCTCTTTTTTCCAGGCTTTCACATCTCTACTTCTACGCAGGTCCTTAATTGGAATTATGAGCCATAGTTATTACCTGCATTGTAGGTGTTTAGTAGGTTGTCTACTGACAAAAGAGGCAAAAGGTCTACAGTCTGATCACTTGTGTTTTACATGATAAAGCACTAGAATAAATGGTTATCCCATTGTCTATCTGGCTACCTGTGATCGTGCAAGATGGGTTCTCACCTATACTGCCTGGGCAGAGGAGTTTGACATGTAGCCTGGCAGCAGGTGGTCTTGGATTTACTGAGTTCTTCAATTTTATCTCCAGTCCATTCCACATATTTATACATGGGTTGCTCTAGTAAACCTTTTCTGATTTGGTTTATTTAAATGTATTTGTTTTATTGAGACATGGGAATTGGATTTATGTCCTTGGGAAAATTACAGCTTTTAGTAAATATGTTTTCTTATCTCCCTTCACCATTTTGGCCTGTTGCTTGACACCAGTGTTTCTTTTTACCTTGTTTTACAGTTTTCTCTTTGTTTTTACAACTCCTCCAAAAAACATAACACAAATATATCTACTATAGGAAAACTGTAGTAAGTTTAGTGATGTCAGTTACTACTGCTACTACTAACAAACAGTCTTAATCTAACCTATAATGTATTAATAATGATACATATTTTTAGGCTCTATTATATAATGTTTCTCTTCAGGCCTTTTGCTTTATTTTTAATTTGAAAAATGAGGCTGTAAAATGAACCTGCTGGAAGAGGAGGAAGTAGTTCCCATTTGTATCATAACCTGGTGATTAGAGGACATGCCCAAGAAATGGAAGATTTATGTTCTAGACTGTCCACAGCCTGATGGAATTCAAACACTTTCCACCCCTCCTGTTGACTCACCGTGAAAAGACAGGTTCAGGGGAGCTAAAGGACAGAGCATGCTCAAGTATGATAACCACTATCTAGCCTAGCAGTTAAGGCTTGGGAGGGGTATCCTGTTTTAGGTTTATGTTCTATTTACTACTTAAGCATTTTCCATCAGAACAGTCATGGGAAACTCATCTGCTGCCACTGCCACCCCAGCCCCTGCTGCTGCTTCTGCCACCTAGGGCAAGGACCCTGGTAATTACACCCCTGCTTCTGCTTTATAAAGACCATGTGCATTGTTGTCTTGAAGCAGCAATCTCATTTCTTGTCTCTGTGTTTTCCAGGCTGGCTATTCTCATACCATTTTCTGGAAGGCAAACCAGTGGCTCATGATCCATCTGTTTCACTGCCGTATGATGCTTACTTATCACATGTGGTGGGTGTGTATTTCCAATTGGAATGATGTGGTGGAAAATCTTGGACTTCTGTATTTTATTGTCTTATTCCTGGGATTAGCTTCTGTGTCAATAATTCTTAACCCATACTGGACGTACAAAAAGACTATGCAGGTTGTCAGTCCGACTGACCGGAATTTTCCACATGCAGAAGTGAAAAATGGACAGTCTGGGAAGCTGAATGGTGAAACAATCCAAAAGAAGAGGATATAATACTGAAACAGCTGGTTGTTAGCTTAGAAGCAAAATAACACCAGAAGAATATAATGCAAGTAGAGCTGCACTGATGCATCAGTCTGATATCTGTATCAGCCGATATCCCTCCTTAAAAATTGGCTATTGGTATTGGCCCCCAAAATCTCTATTGGTGCACCACTAAATGCAAGTTTTTTTAATGAGTTCAAAAAAAGAAAATTAGTTACAATAACTCAGTGTACATGTTGATTAGTCTTAAACTTGCTATCAGAATTCCATACTTGTATACCAAAAGTGTTGAAAAGTATAGCTTTTTTATGTATATACATATACACACACCAAAAATCTAAGACTACTTTATCAGGATTTATGCTGACAATCTTTTAGAAATTGAATGTTGTTGCTCCATTCTGTAATAAAAGGCAGCAAAAATTATATCCAGTCTTCTAGCATTTTTCATCGTAGGATTCTCCAAATATTTTCTGAATACCTAATTAAGCCACACCGCATCTCTTTAGGGAAGAGCAGAATTAAGACCATTTCAGGATCATGGAAGAAGCTGATATTGAAAACTGACTTTTATTTCTGACATTGAAACTAGGTCTGGAATACAGAATACCTGTTGCACTCTAACCAGTAGACCACTCCACACTAAGACCACTCCATACAGGCGTAGACCCTGAGATGGTGCAGAGGCACTTGGAGGAACTCGGCACGCCCGGATGAACTCCATCTGAGGGTACTGAAGGCACTGGCTGACGTCATTGCGCAGCCACTGCCGGGAATATTTGAACACTAGTGGCACACGGGCCAGGTCCTGGAGGACTGGAAAAGGGCCAATGTGGTCCCCAC